TATTTTTTTAATTATGAGCGAATACAAAAATTTTTCATATTTTCACCTGAAAATTATTTTTCAAACTTCTGGATTCGTTCTGCGTCGGTTGTCGTTGAGTCGAACGAGCTCTGAAGAAGCCAACAGGATGATTGGTGAAACGTTAGCAAGTTCGACTCAACAAAAACCGACGCCGGAGAAATCCAGATGTTTTGTAAATAGTATAACAGTAGCCTGTAGAAATTTCTTTGAAAAAAAAAAAGTTTAAATATTATCATATCATCAACTATGCGTCTTTTTTTCTAATTTGTGTTACAAATCTATCGCCCAGCACCCTTTTTATCATTTTCCTAAATTACATATCCTTTGACTCTACCAAATTTTCTTTTGCAATTTTGCTTTCTGGACTTGAATTACTGAGTTGACGAAAAATGTTTGCGACTGCGTCGAGCATTGTTTTTGTCGTTTGTCATTCACATACAGTAATTTCCTTCGTAATATGAAAATCCTCAGAAGTAAACCAGTCAAGCGTACGTATATGCGTTCATTCGCAATTAAATTCGACGAATTTATTAATTGAAAAGGTACATTCGACGGCGGGTAATGTTCAATGTTTACCCGGAGTTTCCGGCAACGGATCTTACTTATACGTACTCGAAACCCAAATGCAATTAGTTTTGCTATTACAATTTTCAGGAAATTACTAGCGACTGCGGTCCCCGGCTCTCTTGTACAGGCGTAATGCGTCAGAGGAATTCCTATTGGAGCCCACGCGCGCCGACATAATAAGATTGACTCTCGGTCATTTCTCGGAAAGAGCAAACTCTTTCATGATAAGTAAGGAGCAGATAAAATGCACGCCGAAAAATGCATAAAATTTTTAAAATATATGCATCGAAATGGACAAAAAATGCAGAAATATTTTTTTATAATGAAACCGTTAGTTAAAACTTCTATAATTCTTTACCTATGCCACAGACTAATTAAATAAATATAAATAAAGCAAAAAAAAAATAGTAATATAAGTTTTTTATTCGTAGATATGTTACCATGTTAGGTAATATTCGAAAACCGTTAGTATAGTATGCATATTAGGAATTATGCATAATTACTGAAACTGTTAGTGATTTTGCATAAAAACTGAGCATTTTTGGAATAATGGATAATTACTGAAACTGTTTCTGATTTCGCATAATAACTGAGCATTTCAGGAATGATGTGTAATTACTGAAACTGTTTGTGATTTTGCATAATAACTTAGCATTTTGGATGTTTTTGATTTCGCGTAATAACTGAGCATTTTAAGAATTATGGGTAATTACTGAAACTGTTTGTGATTTTGCATAATAACTTAGCATTTTAGGAATAATGGGTGTTTGTGATTTCGCCTAATAACTGAACATTTTAGGAATTATGGGTAATTACTGAAACTTTGTGATGTTGCATAATAACTGAGCATTTTAGGAATTATGGGTAATTACTGAAACTGTTTGTGATTTTGCATAAAAACTGAGCATTTTCGGACTTATGAGTAATTACTGAAACTCTTTGTGATTGTGCATAATAACTGAGCATTTTAGGAAGTATGGGTAATTACTGAAACTGCTTGTGATTTTGCATAATAACTGAGCATTTTAGGAATTATGGGTAATTACTGAAACTGTTTATAATTTAGCATAATAACTGAGCATTTTAAGAATTATGGGTAATTACTGCATAACAACTTAACAACTTAACTAAATAACTAAAAATTTTATAGGAATTTTGCGTAATACCTGAACATTTAGTCGTTACGCATAATTTTGAATCACTAGCTCTTAGAGTTGGAAAACACAGGATAGTAGGTCGCTACTTACCCTGCAGTCTATTTAAACAAGTACCTCTCAGGATCCTAATTTCTTCAATACATTTGAAATTGACTTGGCTGCGAATTAAAATTATTAATCAGTAACCACAGGCATCTATCTCTAGCAGGCACAACTAACTAAAAAATTTAAATCATTTACGGGTAGATGCCTACGAAATCTTATTACGAAGCTACCCTTCGTAAAAATACGTGTTGGCCGTGTTCACTAGCAGGCCAGCACTCATACTCATACAATGACTAAATGTTTTAGGTATTATCGATAATTTCAGTAAAATTTATAGATATTATCTAAATTAACGAAATATTTGTAATATTATGCAAAATCCCTAACAGTTTCAGCAATTACGTATAATTCCTAAAATTCTTAATTATTATTCATAATAACGGTTTTCGGATATTAGCGGTAACAGATATACACGTAAAAACCTTACAATGACAAAATAATATTTGCGATTATAAAAAAAATAATATTATAAAACAATTGACAACTAAATGTTATTAATAATTTCCCAAAAGAAGATTGTGTCTTTAATCTGCAAACATATGTTTAAAAAAGGAAAACTTAAATTATGAAACAATTAATAATTAAACAGATAATAGCAACGCGCACAACATACAATTCGTAAATTAACAAACTATGCTCTGCAGTTATTGATAATGGATAACTAAAGGTTTTTCAAAATTTCTCAAAAGAAAATTGTCTATTTTAACTGTAAAAATATGTTCAAGTGTATTTCTAATTCTAAAACTTCTGTTATTGACCAATTAGCCAAACAAGTAACACAGCTTACAATAATATACCATATAGCAGCATCTGATGAAACTGGTATGATTTTTTCTGTATGGATATTGCAAAAAAGTTGGTTAATGTTTCTTGAACAAATCTGGTTATACTTAAATTGTTGGTTTTTTACAATTGTTTGGAAGCAATTAAATCGGATCTACCATATCAGTGAATTCATTGGTTTCCCCCAAGGCCTTGCTTTTGCTTTTTGATTCAAATAAGAAGCCAAAGGTGGCTTTTAAATATGCCTTTGGACTAATAAAAAAAATGCTAATAAGAAAAATACTTTTTCTGAACGTTTTTATAAATGTATATATTTTCTGAACTGATTTAAAAAACCCTTGTTACTTAATTGTTTAAATTTAGTTAAATTAATGAAGTTTAGTTTTTCTAAAGAATCAAATGTAGGGTCGATAACACTAGTTTTGGCAAAACAGCAAGAATAAATTTACCGACCGACAAATTAAATTTAACTATTAGTGAGAACTATTAAAAATGATCTCTCTTTTGGTGTTTCTTTTTCTTAGAATTTCAAACACCCGAGCCGTTGTTTACATAAAATTTTCTTTCTCAAAAATACTTGAAGAACCACCCTATGATATATCGGTTACTTTTTAAAAATTCCCCTGTGTAGTGTTCAAGCGCAGCTAACACTTAATCCACATTAAACCGCATTCGTTAATATTACGAAAAATAAACGCAAAATATTGCTTTCTTTTAATGGCAATGTGGCAAAAACATAAGTTCGGCAACCCTCATGCTTTATAATATTGAAACAAGTTTTTCAAAAGGGTCGATTATTATACACTGCTCTTGGGTAAACGCACTAAAGAAAATATGCAATCATGTAACTGATAATTAATTATTTCTCTTAGTGGACATATCTTTTGCGATTGATATTTGTGCTTTTCAGCAAAGATCAATTATTTGCAAATCTTGTTTACGAAAAATGAGGCAACCGCTGCTAACATGATGACAGCCACACGGGCAACGTTATTTTCTGGAAATATTTTAAACGTCTAAAGAATGCTAAATACAACTGAATGACAACGGAATTTTCCTTTTTGGGTGTGCCCAATTGTAGAAACTTAAATGTAAATATCAATAACGTAAACTTACAGAGTGTCCCATGATCTATGGCAGTATATGAGATTCTTTGGGTAAAAATACTACGATTAAACGAAACTTACCTCAACCCGTAAGTTGATATTAACCGTGATACAGGATGCCAAAATTGCAATTTCATTTTTATATTTTTTTAATAATTCCTACAAAAATAGAGCTTTTTGCACAAAATTTAGCAAATCGGGGTTTTTTTGTTGTAGAGGGCTATATATGGTACATTTGTGCGTCTTAGTTTATGCGAAGGTTTAATAAAGATATCACCTCTTACACCTTTTTAACACAAAGAGATGTACATACCTTTTAAATTTCGCCCGAGTCCCGTTTTCGAGAAACGCGCATTTGAAATTTGCGTTGCACCTAATTGAGCAGTTTCACGTGAACATGCAAAATAGTTCAAAGTAGGCTTTGACGAACATTATCACAGTAAAGAACAGTAAAATAGTGCGAAGTAGCTTCTGAGGATACGATAAAACAAATGCAAAATTTTTCAAATTAGTCTACGACTAAAAATATATTAAACATATTACTAGAAGCTCTATGACTAAAATAAATGCGAAAAAAGCATTTAGGTCAGTCAGTCAATCAGTAACTTGGGTGATTTTTAAAACTTTTAGTTATTTTTTCGATAATGCTAAGACAAAACTTGTTTTCCAATGCGGAGATGCACGACATGTTCATACCCACAAGAGAATTATAATGGGCGTTGAGCCCATAGACGTTTTCAAACCTAAGATTTAAAATTTTTTAAGAATATTTATAATAGACTTCCCAAGAGAAACTTTGTGGAACGACCAAAAATGATTACACCGGAAATGGAAGAGAAAATTTTAGTCCAAGTGGCTGAAAATCCGGAAATAAGCACAAGAAGGATGCCAACCAAGAAAAACTTTATCCATATCACTTTACTACTTTCCAAAATCTTTTAGAGGGTGGTTCTATAGGCAAATTAGAATTTGATGTTTTTAAACAAAATAATATGGACAGATGCAACATTTGCACGCAGACCTGTATATTTACAACAAGACTTTAAAATAAATGTTTGGGGCGGAATAATTTCTCTCTCTAAAATCTCCTATTTTGCCATATTCCATCACTTATGGGATGCCCTGTATAATAATTGTTCTTGGCTAAAAAGCACCAGAATCAATTTTGCTTTTGCTGTGGCTTCCGTTCGCTTTCCGTGACGCCACAAGAGAATAAAAAATTCTTTACCATTGTGAAATATCTATGGTCAGTGACCCAGATTCGATTTGACAGGATTTGTTTGGAGCTTCCAGTTTCCGTTTTAATGTCGCCGGCGGGAAAAAAGACCTCCCAAGTGTGGACTTATTTCAAAAGCGTCGATGGCAACAAAATCGCAAGGTGTGTTTTATGCGAGAAATTCATCAAACATTTTGGCGGCACCGCGAATTTAAAAACTCATTTACGTCGAATGCACCCGAACGAATTGCAAAACGACAACAATACGGGGACCGACACATCTGAAGTTGAAGAAGAAGTGAGAGTTATGGCCGACTATTCTAAAAAGGTACGCATTTTTGCGAACGAATCGTTTGATTTCGAATCCGATTCTGCTCGAATCAGGTTTGAGGTTAAGCTTGGTTATTTTTTCGGTAAATAAAATAGATCAAGAAACGCAGCTACGTATGGACCTATTTCAATCAGTTAAGCGGTCACAATGCAAAGTGTAAAGGTTGTTCAAAGGTACTATCTTACAAAGGAGGTTCCACTTGCAACCTCTTGCGGCATTTGAAAGCTAAAAACTGCTTCGAAGGACCCCATACCAACACCATTGAATTTGTCCATGAAGTTGATCCAGATTCTGAGAATGAGGTAAACACGCGTGTCCAGTACTTTATTTTACTTGGTGAGTTATTTGTAGTCCTCCTTGCGTTGCTCCTCATGTTGCAAAGACATCCCCTTCGAAAATTGGGCGGAACACCAAAAAGCATGTCAGAGCAACCCTTTAAATGACAGACTTATTGAGAGCTTCATAGAAGCAGTAAGACCTAGACCTCCCCTATGGGATGATAATTTACCTCGGACGATGCGAACAATTGGTATTAAGCATGAACTATGGCAGGAAGTCTATGAAGAATTGGATGGGGTTATCCCCTTGGAGAAGTTGGAAAAAAAGTGGAGGTATCTTAAGGAGATGTTCTTGAAACTCAAGAAAAAGTAGGCATATTATTTATTTACCTAATTTGATGTTTATTTGACAAATGGCTTTAGGGAGGGTTGTGAACAGGAGCAATGGAAGTATTTTGGAATGTTGCAATTTCTGGACGATAATGAAGCGAGAGAGATTGACACAGGCATCGAAAATTCTCCACGTTCTCCAAGGTCTGACTCACCCAAAGGGGATGATACAAATGAAAGGGAACTTAAAAGTGATGGTAACCCTATTTGCCAATCTTACTTCTCATACAAAAAATGCAGTTTGTTAAATTTTAATCAATTTTATTAAATAATGATGATATTTTCAGGTTCTGCGACGGAAGTGTTATACACAATGTCCCCCGCTATGTTGACTGTATCAAGTATTTTAGAAAAGTTGCCCCTGCGTACTAGAATGAAGGCAGAACTAGACATATTAAATATGGTATACAAACTTTATGACCAGCAGGACAAGTCATAGTTACTTGTGACGTACCATTTAATAAATAAAATATGCTTTTGTTTATTTTATTGTGGCTATTCCTTTACTTCTTTGCTTTTCACAGCCGGACAAGTCTACTATGGTCATTCGCCCATTACCGACGTCCGTCGTAAAAAAAAAATTATAATTAACATTGATTCTTATCTTGCAAAAAGGACTTTAAACGATAACAAAAAAACGGCAGCCCCCGCTTCCATCCGGGGCCGACAACAATAACGCCTTCACAAAACACTTAAGGAACAAAAACCACACAATTGAAACATATCAAAACTTTTTGGGACGATTACGAGGATTCTGTGGGGAGCGAGCGGAGGTTAAATCACCATGTGCAAAACTCACAACAGCATCTCCTATTCCTTTACATATTCTGTAAAATCGTTATGCCATCAGTTCTAACCCTGGATCAGATTCTGTGGTGGAGCATTGCACACGACGGTTTAACCTCCGTTCGCTCCCGACAGAATCCCTTGTTTTTGTCCTCAAAAGTTTGATATCGGTTTCCACTGTGTGGATTTAGTGTTTTTAGTGTTCAGTGCATGTTTTAAAGTGATAATCGTCGTTTTTCCCCGTTCACGCCGGTATGGAGGCCGGATGGGCCCGGATGGTCCCTGGTGGAAGCGGGGGGAAGCCGATTTTTTATTGGTATCGGTTAGAATCTTTTTTTGCTAGCTGAGCAAATTATTGGTTATTTTTCTTCTTTGTACGTGGTGGTCGTTTACCAGAAGCGAAGTCCCTCGACGGAAGTCGGCAATGGGCGAATGATCCTAGCAATTGAGCCCAACATTTTTTTGTGAAACGCTTACTTGAACCCTGGATCAAAAATATTTCTTCAAAATCAGGAACAGTTAGGTAAATTTGCTATGATCATTCGCCCATTGCCGACATACATCAAGGTTACTCAGCATATCTATTGTAAAGGGGATATGGATATTTTTCTACAAGGAAAGTCAGGGAATTAATGCAAGAAATTGAGAAAACTTTGCAGGCATTTGAAAAAAGTCACTAACATTATGCAATAAGCTTTAAGTGTCACGGGTGAAGCAACATTGAATAGATAATAATAGAAGATGGGATACTAGCGGAGGACAAAAGAAAATATACTGCAGGTCGCTAACCTCCCAGGAAGCACAATGTCGACTTCCAATTCTACATATACTATTTTCCCCCTTGACGACTGCATCTTCAATGCTTTTTTCCTTAAACTGGGCCTCTCACTCTGGGAATAAATATCGAGAAAGGCGGTCTCGGATATCCAAAACAAAACGTATTCTATAACGATTTCTGATCCCACCACTCTAAGAAGACAGGAAAACAAATTTATGCAGTTTGTATTTTCTCTCTCTCTTTATTCTGTGCAATCAGCTGTTTCTGTGGATCGACCACAATAAAAAATAAAGTTAGAGGTTAGATTGATCGAAATAAAAATGGCAGGTGCGAAAAGGCGATCTAAAGTGTGGAATTATTTCAAACACTTGGACAAGACGAACCTCAAATGTATTTTGTGTCGAAAAACTATCAAATATTGCGGATCAACGACAAACTTGCGAAATCATTTGCGCATAATACACGCCACGATATTGCCAAAAAGGAAAGTTAGCTATGAAGTTGGACAGACATTTGGTAATACACATCCCAACCAACTAACAGACGCTTTGCTTAGAAAAGAAATATTGGATGAAGATCCGGACTATTTGGTATATCAGGTTTGTAATTACAGTGATTCCTGGACTATCGCTATTTTAACATTTTGTCCAATAAGGGACCAGGTAAAAAACGGAGTCAGATGTGGACCTACTTCACTCAAATAGGGAGTCATGTTGCCAAGTGCAAATCCTGTTCAAAAAAATTGTCATTCAAAGGAGGATCCACATTTAACCTTTTACGACATTTGAGGGCACAGCATTCTTTTGATGTTTCTGATTTTTCTAGTACCACAGATGGCTTTGTCACCTGTATAGTTAAGAGCCAGGAAAAGGAAATCGAGAATGAAGTACATATCACTACTTGCAAAATATCCATAAAACCAATGTCTCGTTTTATAGCTCTCCTTACATTGCCACACATGCCGCCAAGATATCACTAGTGACAGTTGGGGTGAACATCAACGAGCATGTAAGAATAATCCTTTAGATGATATATTAATTAAAAGTTTCATACAAGCTGTTAAATTGCGTCCTTCTCTGTGGGACAACAGTATGCCCTGGAAACTACGGACCCCTGGCATACAACAGGAACTATGGAGAGAAATCGTTGATGAATTAGGTGGTGCTATACCTTTTGAAAAATTGGAGAAAAACTGGTTGTTCCTCAAGGAAATGTTTTTCAGAACACGGGAAAGGTATGCACTTTTAGAAAAAGCTGTTTTAATTTAAGGGATAAATAAATGACAATTCTCAACGGAGGGGATTTTATTTTCAAATTTCTTTTTAGGCAAGGAAACAACAGTGTCCCATGGAAATTGTTGAGATTTCTTGATGGAAATGGACCTAATAAAGAGGATAAAAATTATGTTGATCAGTCAATCGTTGCTTTATCGAATTCAATACATTTAAATGCACGAAATGTAGAGGCTCAAAGCACTAAATTACACAGTAAGTTGCAGTCGAAGTGAAGTTGATTTATAATATATTTTTTTACAAATGTAAACTCAGTATCCTCAAAAACCTGGACAAGTGAGCAAGTAAGGAAAATAATCGTCACTATAGATTGTTGAAATTTAAATGAGAACATCATTTTTCGTTGTAATTAAGCGGCCAACTCATTGGACAGCAAACTGAGAAATTTGACATTCGTGATCCCAGGCCACTACGAAATTTTAGAAACAAGGTTCTCATTAAAAACACATTTGTATGTTCAGTTAATGAATACATTTATAGTTATTGTGTTTTATAAATTAGATATCAGCATCAAACAAAAAAAAACATGCATCATATTTTTGGGAAGTCCCCAATTAATAAATTAGAAAAGACTTACTCAGTATCCTGAAAAACGAGGGCATGTGGGCAAGTAACGTAACGGAAATAATTCTTGTCACTATAAACATGCAGCTTAAACTTACACCAGTACAAGGTTTTATGATCTCAACACTGAAATATTTAATCAAGCCGCCATCGCATTTGACAGCAACCGAAAAATTTGACATTCGCGGTCACAGAACACCATGATATTTTACAGTCTCATGTAAAGAAGCGTTCAGCAATCGGACTCGAGCAGAAACAAGCTTCCCATTAAAAACGCGTTTATATGTTCAGTTTATAATATGGTGTTTTAAAAATTAGATATCGGCCCGTTGTTGTTGTTTTAGGGGTGCGCACTGAAGTGGTAAAGTTGCCTACTACGTTGTCTTTATACGGTATGTCACCGGCCCTGCTGACCGTTTCAGCCATATTGGCAAAACTGCCTTCGCGAACCAGAGTGAAGGCAGAAATCGAAATTCTGAATTTGGTGTACAAGCTTTACGGCAAGGTGGAAGTGAGCGACTGACGTCGGGAACTAAGTAAATGAAAATGGGGAAAATCTCGATGTAGTTTTATTTCTATCAAAACAAACTCCCGTGGTATTTCCACAGCCGTTTATGGTATATTAATGTACAATATACAAAATAGCACACAAAATAAACGCTACATTATACAGCAAGATAAAGTAAAAGCGTTCCTGAGAAAAATAAGCTATATACTCTGAAGAAAATAAAAAAAACCGCCTCCGACTTTTACCGGGTCAGTTATCACCAAAGAAAAATTCATTTGCAGGGTCCTTTGAGGGAACGAAACATTAAAAAATAATTTATTAGGTTTATAGTCGATTTGTACATTTTCATATCTAGAAACCGTTTTTAGAAAATGTTGTGCACCCTAGATGTAAAAATTTTTGGGTTAATCCTTTTGCAAGTCTATCCTAGTTATTTTTTTAGCTGTACAAACCGAATTGATACTATATAATTATTATAACCACGTTTACCCAACAAGGGAATTTTATTAAAGCATCTTGGAACTGTTTTCGGTTTTTTTCTCAATACTGGGCGGTGGTGGTATCACAGTTCGGGAATCCATTTTGGGTTTCGCTTGGGTACCAGACCCCTGATCTGATTTCTCCTTCCCCTCCCCTTCGTTCGAGCTCTCTTCGCGTTTACTTTCGATCTTTGCCTTCTCTTCCAACCGCTCTGCCTGTTTGGCCGCCTTATCCTTTTGCAGGGCCTTTTCGATCTTATCTTCAACCTCTAGAATTTCCTCCTTGTCGATCAGTTGCATCACCTCGTCGATCTGCTTACTGCTCAGTTTGACATTCTCCTTGCCTATTATTTCTATGACCTGCGTGAAACACACAGAGTTTTAAGAGGATAGGCAAAAACTTTTTATATACAAAAATATAAATATACATAAAATAACAGAGAACAAATCATACTTTTGTAAAAAAGTCGTTGCTCATCCCCTTCAAGACACTCAGTAAGTGGCTGTCAAAATATAAATGAAAACCCTGTTACAGGGCGTTCCTTAATAATAAACCAATTCTTTGAGGAAAATGTATGTTAGTTTGCAATACCGTATATATCAATATGCCCAACTCATGCGCAGTTTATATATTAAATATAAACAAAATCTCTGGAACAATATATTTTTTTGAATTTCATCAAATGTAGGCATCCCAACCAAAAAGAAATTTTTGTTTATAATTTTGCCAAGACTTTTGGTATTTAACAAGTGAATTTACTTTTTTTGGGGGTATATCATTTTTCTGGGACATTTTATATAATGTATAGGAAATATAAGTAATATGTAAAAAAAAATAAGAGATGGAAAAATTATCAATAATCAATAAAATGAAACGACAAGCACTAAGTTAAAATAGAGAAAAAAAAGTTTTGTGGAGGGACCCACCAATGCATGAATTGCTATATTAAGAGAATAATTACGTAATATAAAGGACAATCAGTGAATTGGCAATGACAAAAAAGTAAGAACCATTATAAAATGAAAACAAATGGATTAAATAAAAACCATTATAAAATGAAAAAAATGGTTTAACTAACCTTCACAACATCTTCGACCTTCAACGATCCATCATGGTCGTCATCAATCTTTCTTAGCACCTTCTCTATCTTCTCCAACCGGCTCTGGTCGGGAACGTCCTTGATCTTGTGTATGGCCGCTATAATGTCATCAATTTTCAGCAACTCCTCCTGCTTATGATCGCTAACGCCCGCCTCCAAGTCCTTCTTTAACTGCGCCTCCTTCTTCTCCAAATTGTCCAACACCTGATCCATGTTGCTAATCATCTTGTTCACGCTCTTAAACAGTCGTTTCGCCGCTTTGGTCTCTTTAATTTCGGGTTTGGGAGTATCTGCCACTGCTTTGGACAGCTCTTCCACGTCCTCCTTGTAGTCAGCCATTTCCGCCTTCAGCTCTTGGATTTCTTCCTTCTCCACTATCAACTTCTTGTCCTTGGATACAGTATCAATTGCGTGTTCAATTATTTCTATGTCCTTAGAGTGAATCTCTTCCTCTTTCTCAGACATTTTCTCCACTCTTTCGAGTTTCTCAGCAGATATCCTCAATGCGGTGTCTTCCAATATGGGGGTGGAGGCGGCAGATATTGTGGGTGCCTTGTCCACCAAGATCTCTTCCTCTGTCCTCCTTTCTATTCTTTCTTCTTTAATCTTCTTTTCTTCCTCTTTGAGTAGTTCCACCCGAATCTTATTGTCTATTTTGCCCTCCTTTTCACCTATAGATGCTTGCGTCTGTTTCAAAATTGTCTCGGGCAGGGAGGAGATGGTAGCCTTGAGTTTATCTCCCGTTGGTATTGTCTCTGGTAGCATTAGTGCTCTAGACAGCAGCAACAGAGATGGTGGAACCTTTTCATTTAAGCTTAAATCTAGCCATTGGTTCAACTGGGATCTTAATCTGCTTTCGGTAACCCCATAGGCCCTCATACCTCTAGCACGGCAAGCCTGCTGCACCTCGCTGAGAGTTAAAGAGTGGACTCCCTCTTTTTGGATCATTTTATCATCTGCTGCGAGTTGTCTCAGCTTCATTCTCAATTGAAACCTGAGAAAATTATTGGTTCCCAATGTGTTCACCTCTAGAACTCTGCACAGAGCTATTAATTGGCTTCTGGATAATGAGTCCAGGGTAATTTCATCCTCAAATAACTTAGAGAACTTAATGATATCATGATTTGACACCAGCTCCCCTGAAGTCCGCACTTTGTTGAACCATTCAACAAATTCTTTTGCCTTTTCTGAGTATCGGTCCTTGTGTTGGACAGACATTTCATCTAGGGTACCCTGCAGAAACTTGGCCATCTCCAATTTTACTTTTAAATTTTGTTTAAGTTTATCCTCCTTTTCGCTACTTGTCTGGAATGTGCTGGGCAGCATGCCAGGAAACAACTTAATAAATACTGGTAGCAGGAGTTCCATAAATGGAACAATAATGAACACCGAGAAAGGGACTAACCGGAACAAATCACCGACCGTTCGAGTTAATAACCTGTACTCTCGTCTGGTCAAAGTTTTTCCCCTCAAAACTCTAAAGACGAGACCCGCAGAAATTTTTACATCTATAAACAATAGCCGAAAGCCGTGGTAATAATGCACCAATTCATCGACGACTTTTTGTGCAATTGACTTTTTAACCACTGGTTTGGGAGCTATGTCAGTTACTTTAACCTTGGCGTCCTCTTCTTTTTGTTTTTTAAGTTCTTGTACAGTAGCCTCTACCTTAGAAGATGGTTTTAAAGGTTCCTTATCGCATTTAATATGCGACAACGAAATGTTTCTAATCCAAAACACCCTGTTATTACTCTCAAACAAATTGGTATGACTTGTTAAGCCATAATGTCGTTTAAAATCGTATAAATCCGGACTGGGAACGCGACAATTAGATAAGCACGCACATTCTCTGCTCAAAGCCAAGCTGCGGCAGCCTAAAACGGAAAAAACACAGAGTTATATAATAATTGCATACTCTTTGTTAATAATCCTAACCTAGAAAGACACAACACACGACTTACATTGAATTAACTTGGTGCGGGTGTTTCGGATGTGTGGTAATCGTATTGCGACGTACATTTTCCTCAGTCGTCGAGCGTTTCGAAGAAATTTCCACTTAATTTCGCACACAGTGACGCGAAACGTGCCATAAATTGTGTTGCAATTTCTTTCACCTTGTTGTTGGTTAAAACGAAATGACAATCAGATTCGATCTTCTTCTTTTGTGGTTATGGCCACTCTCGTTGACGAGGTCTCATTGCGCTAAAAATTATTTACTGCCGGACGGTTCTTTTATGACGTCACCGGCTGCTGCTATTATTTACACTAAAATTAATTAATCCTAAGGTTTTCTTTTGTAATTTGGCAAACGAATATGAAACAAAATAAGAATGTACGAACAAAAACAAAAAAGATGAAAGCGGCACCGCCCGTCGAGATGGTTTTAAGCGAAAACGCTGCGGTTTTTATCCGCTCTTACGATCTACGATCCTGTTCTCCTTTGTTGTACGCGAGCGGGATCGATAAATCTTAGACCGGGGCGGACTAAAGATTTTGCCGCCCCTAGACACGGCGCGAGCACTCGCCCACGACATCGAGCGGTTTATTTTTGCAACAGCGGCCTTTTCCTGTGTGTCAACAATGCAAAGAGATTATTTGTTATCGTCCCATTGTTTGCATGGTGCCTACGTGTTTGTTGTTTCAATCTGAGAATGCAAAATAAATAAGCTCATAAGTTAAAAATAATATCATATTTATTAATATCCCCATACATTTTGAAATAAATGTTTATTCATTCAATAACCTTCAAAAAAGTTATAAATAAAAGTTTAATAAAAGTCCACAGAGATTTTTTGTGATTTTAAAGTCATCGATATGTGATAAAATGACTGGTATATATTCAATACTCATTTATTCATTTCAATAACTTGTTAACAACAATTAAATATTATATTTTTTAAATACTTTAAACTACCAATAACGTGCTTAAACCCGTAATTTATAAAAGCCAAATTTATTATTATTCCAAAAGACTTATATATTTCTTTGTTTACTATATACCGGAAAAAAATAGATGTACAAATATGGTTTATACTTACAATTTTCGAACACGCTGTACAAATCAAATTGGTGCCATCCTAAGTCAATTCCCGATAGCTGTTTATCCACGATATATTGAAGTCAGACTGCACTGGACAGTCAACAAACAAATAAAACGACCCACACAAGAAAGAAAAGTACTAAAAATTGTCACCCCTTTGAAATATAGCGTTCTATTTACAATATTATTTCATCAATTTAACAAGGAACATTTTTGCTGTTACTGATAGTATCCTATAGTGTGGGCTTATCCTGAATAATTCTATGAATCTATTCATATATAAAATAGCTATAAAATACCTGAGTCACCCATATTATAGAGGAATAAGTGAACAAACACATGGAAATAAAATGCAGTAAATTCTCTATTATTCTATTCATATATAAAATAGCGATAAAATACCTGAGTCACTCCTATTATAATGGAATAAGTGAACAAACACATGGAAATAAAATGCAGTAAATTCTCTATTATTAAATTCAAAAAAAAATTCGAATACTCAAATAGAGAAAACTCTACAATGTAAACATGAGATTTAAACTATATCCCTTTTGCCCAATTGGTCTTAAATAATCAAAATAATGAAGGAAATAACTGCTGTATTTATAATGATCAAGGAATGAAAGAAATGAAATAATCAAACTGAGAGAAAATGATCTCTACTCTCCACTTTTTTTGTTTGTTTCATTCGTCTTTCTTCTGCTCTGCTAACTAAGGAATACACATACAGGGTGTCACAATAGTGTCACAATGTTTACGGTATCTCCATTATTTACCACAATTTTCAAAATTTCAGGGATTTAAAAAAGTCCAACGAATTTTAAACAAATTTGTTGCGGATTTTTGATAAATGGAACACGAGTTTCCTACTTTTATTATGGCTAATTTAAGGTATTTAACCCAACGCTATGTGGAAAGCCCTTTGTTAAGTTTTTTATTTGTCATCAATCGATAAAGGATGAATATAAAATCAAATAACGATAAACCTGTGGTCAAAAGAAAAAATAAAAATAAGTTAAATAGAAAAATATTTAACTTAGAATTTCGAGTATATTTACTATTTCAATATGTGTCTTTACTTGGTTTCAAATAATTAACGAATATCGTTTTTTGAAGGCTCACTCTTGACAAGTAAAAACAAGAATTTGCAATTTTTGTTTTTTAGTAACTTCATTACAAAAGTGGCGTAGCAAACTTGTTGCATATTTATATTACTACCTACATTACATATTTATGTTTATGTTTAAAGGAAAACAAAAATATGTTTCCTTTTTCCCGTGCGGGGTTTTGCGTCTTATCGGCCGTCGTTGTCTCCACACAAAAGTCATTAAAACGAAGGCGCAACGTTTAGGATTACGAACGATTCGATTTTCTTTATTGCGAACAAACAGAGTCGGACTCGCGCGCAGAATTTTAATTTTTAATTTTTCCAAAACAGTGAATTTGTAACCTGGCCAATTATTTGCTGTGCAGGGTTTCGCGTCTTATCGATAGTCGATGTCTCTCGATAGCGCAACGTTCGCAATTACGATTAAATTGATTTTTTTCGATTGCGAGGAAACAAAGTCGGCGTAGCGCGTGCACGATTCGCCCTTTTTTTTTGGCGACCACCGTAGATATCGCGGTTAGCCGCCGCTACACCTGCGAAACGGAAACAAGTGACCGTAGGTGGTGGCGCTGGCTACGACCAAACGGTGTTGCCGTTTGTGCGGAAACTTCCGTTAAACAACATAAATTAAAATTTTCCAACGAAGAAGAAGAAGAAGAAAAAGAAAGAAGAAAGTACAGGGTGTCTCATTTCGGGTACCTTTGAGAGGTGTCTTCTTTACGATACAAAGTTGTGGTTTTCGCGACGGTATACTGCATTTCCATGAAAATAAAGAAGCCGTTAACAAAATCCTTATATCAATTTTAGTTTTTAAGATACAGACCGGACATTGTTATTGTCAACAAAGCACAGCGCGATAGATACATCGGTGATATAGCCGTGCCTCTGGATGACAATGCACAGAAAACTTACAGCAAAAAGATAGCAAAATACGAAAAGCTTTCCTACGAACTAAAAGCACTATACAACTTAAAAATGATCCATACTCTGCCTTTCATTATCTCAGCTAACAGGTCTGTACACAAAAACTTTACGAAACATCTCAAACAGTTGAAGGTAGACTATACGTACCTGGTCGAAGCCCAAAAGGCAACAACTATACTAATTAGAAGAATAACAGACAAATATGTAAATCTACTAAGAGACTATGACTGCCTAAGACAAAATCGATAACTAAACTAGCTGCATCCTTCAGAGTATCATTAGGGCTGCCAAGAAACCAGGATGATACAGAAGAAAAACACAAAAGAAAAATAAAAGAGAAATGACCGAGTGAACTGAAAACAGAATGGAGAAATAAACAACTGCATGGACAGTATGCACGACTAAATAAAGACCAAGAAATAAATCGCAGATACACCTACGGATGGCTAGAGAAAGGAAATCTTAAGGGTCATTAATACTCGATATTACTCAAAAAATATCCTAAAGAAGGCTATCATATCATATCCTCTCTGACTGTCCTATACTAAAAATGAATATATAAAGAAATATGATAATGCGGCTAAAAGGTTGCACTTCAAAATATGCCACAATTTTGATATTAACACCACCAGAAATTGGTATGATCACAGGGTCGAGCAGGCCACAAGCAAGAAAGATGTTACAATACTGTGGAATCAACAAATTCAAACAAATAGGCAAATAACAGCAAACAAACCGGATATTGTTATTAAAGAGAGACGTAACAACTTATGCACGATAGTTGACGTTGCAATTCCAGCCGATAACAATGTTGCGGCGAAAGAAGCTGAAAAATTACTTAAATACAGGAACCTAGCCATCGAATTAGGTAGAATGTGGAATATTAAGACCCAAATTGTCCCCATCGTAATCGGCGCAACTTTAACACTCACAAAGAATTTTGAAAGATACCTTCACACCATCGACATAACATCATACAGCTTCAGTCACGGCAGTAAAGGGAAGTGCCCACATTTTAAGAAGAGTTCTAGGGTAACCCAAGGAACACGGTGTGTTCCTGGTTAACTAGTGTTAAGAAAATAAAATACCTACACCGTGAAAATTAATTGGATAATAATAATAATGAGACTAATATTAATAATAATGCTTCTATCAACATTACATATTATTAAATAACCAAATAAAAATAATTGAAATAATAGTTAACAATAGGCCTTACAAACGCAGCCATCAGGAAAGTCTAGACATTGTTCGGCATTGAATATAAACAGCGAAATTTTATATTATAACACATTTCATTAAATTCATACGATCTTTTAAACAATTCTTTAAATTAGGAATTAATAATTTTGGTTTCATAGTGATAAAAACGTATTATAAATTCATGACTAAAGTGGCGTTTATTCGACCTGTTGCATATTTATATTATTACGTACAGTACATATTTTTATTTAAAGAGAAACGTATTTTGCTGGTGGATTTGTTTTGTGTGAAGAAAATATCTCAATATTTGACAATTTTCTTTCCTCCATTAGAAAGTGGAAATTTCAGTTGTCTGTAAGGTAACTTTTATAAATACTTTTGCAGTGCCGAGGAAATAGAAAGAAATTTAAACATTTTATTCTGACAAGAAAATATGCCATAAGCAGGAAAGCTAAATCCCAACTGGAGCTTCATCAAATGAAAGCTGGCAGAGCTTTGTTTTTTGTTTTTTCTAAAATAGAATACCTGCTAGTATTTTATTCCAGGAAGCTGGGTATCCATCGACCTTGATATAGGTGCATTCTGATATGTTTTAGTTATTTTTATATTAGCTGTGGCAGGTTAATAGAGTATCCTCTGGTGGTCAAAATAAAAACAAATATATTTTGTTTGCTCTTGCTTTATACCAGACGATCTGGAGAACGTCATTCAATCAGCACCACCTGAAGATGTCAATATTTAAGAGTTTCTAAACACAACAACAAAGTTCAAATCAGCAAACCATAATACAAATCGACAGAGATAATCCCACAAGGCAAAAACTATAATTTCTGAATCGCAAAAATTGACTGATATCAATGTTTTGTAGAAGGATAAAACTGTGAAAGATTTGTCAAATGCTACTGCGACTTCAATCAGAAAACAAAATATCTGTAAAGAAGAAGAAAAGTCTCCACTCAATGTTGCCCTATTTGGGTAATCCCCTGGATCAAGACTTTTATAAGAATCTGCTACAAATATATGTTGGAAAGAAAATTCTATTTTCTTAAAAAAAATTAACATGAAACTTTCTACTACTGTATCATTTATGGTACATTTTGTTTCGTGCGTGTGGTCAGCTCAATTTTTATTGTTAAAAAGCTCATTACACTTACCCTGTTTCATTCTTTCTTTCATTTTATAATTTTTATTTTCAGTTTTGTTTCATTAGCTACATCTGAAACTTGCTTTTTTATGTCAATAAACTCATAAAACATATTCTCCTTTTTATTACATTTTTCGTGGATTTCTCAAAAATTTCTTTTTTACAGGACCGTGATAAAACTTATCCCAACAGATGTTTATTCTGCATTAAGCAGACCTTCCCTGAGAAGGACCGTAACGAATATTTGTAGAAACTTGAAATTTTCATTTGAATTGCAATACGTGCGTATTTATTACGAAGGTATTTGACTGTGATCCTTCCAGTAAGTACGTATTTATGTACCTCATTCTCGAGCTTTGACCCTGCGATGCTGTTTTCACTGGATAGTTCAAAGGGTAAGGGTAAATACTTGTACTCTATTTATCTTACATCGATTAACAACATTCTTCTTCTTGTATTTTTGTGTCTTCTGCATAGTTCTTCGATTTGTAAACAACAACAGTCTTTTTTAAGACTATAGATTATATTCGCTGTAGATAAAGGTACGTCGTAAGAATAGAAATAAAAATTTATTATCTTAGAATTAAACATTTTTTGAAGGTTCCTGTTTTTTATCACTAAAATGTGAAGACCGTGGAATCAAGCAGATGTTCCCCTGTTAGAAGAAGGCATGGAAAACAACGCAGAATTTGAAGACAAAGTGGAGACGGTAGTCGAACCTAATTACAATTTAGAAGACGCAATACAGCAAATAACAAAACATTTGTCTTCTGATGCTGAATATTTACAATTTTATAACAAGATGGGGAAGTAGGAGCAGCAATAAAAACAAGTGACATGAACAAAGTTCCGAAGTCAACTATAAGAAAAATTGTTGCAAATGGGATAGTCAACAGGAAAGTGAGAGAAACTGCTGGTACTTCACGAGTTTTTAAAGAGCAACACGCAGATCTAATTAGGCGTATAATCTACGACACTTATAGTGTTTTAGCGCTAGAGGAACTGCATAAAACATTAGTTGTGCCGAAGAGTCGTTGCGTGCTTTTTTGAAGAAAATGGATTTTCAGTTCCAAACAATTAATAAAAGTAAAGTGCTAATGGAATTTCAAATAATTGAACTAGGTGACGATAGTAGCGGTAGTGACGATTTTTTAAGTGACTGATACGTTATTATTATTATATTTAATTTATTGTATATTAATAATTATTTATTGACGTTAACAACCCTACAGTTTTACACAAGTCAGCAAAAACATTGAGCAAAATCTACATATATGTATAATTACAAAGGCACTGCGACATAACACAAAAAACGCTAACTATTATTAAAATTGGTAAAAAGGTCATCAAATGAGTAATAGGCTCCATCCAGCAGTAGTGATTTGACCTTAATAGAGAATTGTCTCTCCGGCAGCTCTCTGACGCTTAGAGGCGATAGATTGAAGAATTTAGGTCCGTCATAGTTCTTATAATTTCTAGTCTTTGCAATTCTTAAGTAGTTAATCAACATATCATTTCTGTTTCTGGTGAGATGGTGGCAAACATTAATTAACAAATAATAATATAAAACAGTTAAAATTTGGAGATCTTGCTCTTGCTCTTACGTCATTCCTAAAATTCAACTGCGTCATCACCCTGATGGCTCGCCTCTGAATCGGAAGAACTCTTTCGGTATGTGAAGAGTGACCCCAAACCAAAATTGCGTAGCTAAATAATCCCTGAAAGAGTGAAAAATATACCATTCTGAATATACTTTGAGAGACCTCGCCGACCAAACCGCGCAAAAAGTACACCACCCTGAAGAGCTTCTTACAAAGACCAATAATATGCTGCTCGAACGTCAATTTCGTATCAAGCAGAACCCCAAGACAGTTCACATGTAATGGATTGTTGTATATTGACTGGCGTAAAGAAAATATAATTTTTTGTGTTTTTGATTCATTGAGTTTAAGTTTGTTAACACGAAACCAATCACTAGCCCCTATCCTCCATCCTGTGCACCAAGTCGTTCTCAGAATGACTTCGACAAGAAAAGGTAGCAAACTATGTCAGCAACATGCTCAGGGATGGATCCTTGGGGTACTCCATGTTCAACAACTCTAATTTGTGATGATTTTCCATCTATGACCACGATCTGCCTCCTGTTGAAAAGATAACTTTGAGGGAATACAACCGAAGAGGGATGCACACCATAACTCTGCAATTTACCAAGAAGAACAGGATACCGGACACAGTCAAACGCTTTCGAAAGATCGTATAGGACTGTGCCGGAGTACTCGCTGCTTTCAAAAGCTGCGTAAACCTGATCAAGAACTCTACCAAAAATGATACTATGTAGAAATGAACGTAGTAAATTCTTGCTTTGTACTAATTTTTTTATGTACATGTTTTAAGAATTGCTCGGCGGAAGAGGTTGAAAACATACTTATTTCCCGCTTGTTAGTGTGTGTAGATAAACTCCTAGGACTGGTAAGGGTCTGGTAGGCAGGGTGCTCTATAAGGGGCTGCAGTTTTGGAGCAACAAACAGATAAGCACGGGGTCGGTTGTAAAAGCACTATATTTCTGGTGCAAGTATACCACCATTGTTACTTCCACTCTTCAATTATCGTTTGTTCCTGAAAATCGTTTCTGGAACGTCGACCGAAACCGAAGGTTGCCTAAAAGTCGATGAAACGGCACCGTCGCTCGAATTTCTCCCCAAAAAGCTCTCTCTCTCTCTTGCGGAGCTAAGCTCGCTTGATTCTGGTTCCGTTTCAGTCGGTCGGCATCAGCAGTCAACGCGCGTCTTCGCTCACGCGCAGGCACCGGTAGTCTATCTAGTGTGCCTCACGCAAACGGCAGTGGGTCACTGGAGACGTTGAATTCTTCGTCGTCGAGACGTCACGCAAAACATCGGCAAGTGCCGGGCGTATACTTCTTGATTGTGGTGCCAGTTTTTGTTGTTTTTCGAGGCTTACGCGTTCGGCGTCGGGACATTTTCGGGAGTTTGGACTGTTTTTTTTTTCTTCAACGAGGTAAGTCGTGTTAGCAATTTCGACGGCTTAAAAAAATAACGAAAAATCGCCTAAAATGTAAAAGTACTTGAAATTTTTGCAATCTATTTATTTGTTTTACTTAATTAAATACACACTATGGGCTATATGCAGGTACATATGTTTCTTCAAAATAAAACCAACTAACAAATACAATAGATACATTTTCTCAGCAATCATTCACCCATTCTTCCAGTGATATGAAAAACTCCTCTAAGCAGTACCTCGATTTGCTCAATAACAATTTTTGAGTTTTTAAATTGGTAATAAGTCTAAGAGAGTCTGGTAAGTGCTGTGGGAACTTTAACAGATGTTTTTCTCACATAAATGGCACAATGCAAAAGATAATGAAATCACAGTCTCTTTGGCTCCGTAAGTCTACAAAAAATGGTAGTCTTTTTAAATGTAACTGCTCCTATTATTATTTTTTGGGCGAATGTGCATGAAGACAACAAGTGCATGATAAAGGAATAGCATAACTTCTCCTCTATTTACAGAATTTCTCAGTTTCCACAACATAAAGCAGTGTACTCGTTAATTTTGTTTGTAACTCTTCAAAAAATCTAAGTTTATGCCCAAGAATTTGACTACTTTACTTTTCCAAATAGAACCCCTACCTGAGGTTACACATATACCCTTGTCCGGTTGTCTAATAGAGAAAAGAACTGCCTGTATTTTACTCATACCCGATATATTCAATGGACTATTAAAAAAATATATATCCTATTTTAATGATTTTGTCATCAGTTTGTAGACCCATTGTTTTACTTTTCTAAATGATTTAATGAAATGTCATATTCGATTTGGCTGTATTATACAGGGAGTAAATGAAACTATTTTTTTTGCAGTAATTTCAAAATTCCCTGTATTAAAATTAAGGTGAATAATTTTATTTAAACACTGTTCTCCTGATATAGGAGCATAAATTTAATTTGTTTTGATTGAACTATAAATAAAACGTAATATTTTAAAGCAAAACTGGACTAATACTAAAATAGATAATAAGAGATTTTCCTTAAATTCTTCTACACATCTGATTGTCTTACATTTTTTGCTAAATTGTTAACAGTTTTTAAATCTTTAAAACTACTGTACGAGCAAAAAAATGCCATGTTGGCCCCTTTCAATCATGTGTGATTGTCGTATCTGTGATAGAAATTGGACGACATATAAGCTATTTTTTATATATATTCAAATGTGACTGTCAATGTCATTTAAAGATATCACACAAAGACTTTAAGAACAGCTGTGAAAACTTGATCCATAAAATTATTTCATGGTCAATGACACGCTTACTGTTTGCACAATTACTCACATATAACCCCTAAATCAGCATTACTTATATAAAACCATGTAAATCCCCTGATGACTTTTGCTTATATTCGAATAAGTTTTGAACTAACTAACCAAAACTAACCAATGTGTGGAATATTGAATATTGAATGTATATGTTGGTATCGTTAATACCCATTCTCGCGATAGGTCAGATGATGATCTTGCAAGATTAGTTCATGAACAGCGTCAATGTCTTTTTGAATAATAACCGATGTTAGACGACCTTCGCGAGAACGAACAGTAAGAGAACGGCCATGCAGTCAAAAGTCGAATTGCTGAAGTTATAAAAATATATATAGATATATATTTAATATATTTGATTCTCTAAGTTTCATTTAGATGCATCATATTCACTTTCTTTACTGGTAATTGTAACAATTTAAGAATTTTACTGGTACTAACTACATACTTGCTCATTTCAAAGTGAAATTACTCTTTTTTATTCTCTTGCACATGAAAAGTGAATTTTGTGTGAAATTTGACATAGAATTCGAAAATGGATAAAACAAAATGGTTTCAATTAAACAAACGAACTTGGTATCTGCTTTTTGACTACAGCAAAGAATACACAAGAAAACATTATGATGGATGTGTGCGAACATTTTTCTTGAAATGAAAAACACTAGCCGTATACAATGGACGATTTTACAACTTACATCTGTCGAAAATGTGGTAAAGAAATATTTTCCGTTATTAAATATGGTGCTGCCATCTATTAGATGAAGAGAATAAGAATACATAGAGCATATTTTCCTCAACTGCTTTATGATGTCTGATAATGAGAAATACAATAATTCATGTATATTTTTTAATCATTTCAAATCAGTACGTTATACAAAAATAAATTGACAGACTAAAAAACCAATGTGACAAAATGACGCAAATTGTGCAAAAGTGTTACTCGCGGTTTGTATCAAAAAATGATAGTTTAATCTTATATTTGCAGTTTTGATGAGGAGCAAAGAATAAACAAGAAAACATTATGATGGACGTGCGCGAACATTCTTCTTCAAATGAAAAGCACTAGCCGTATACAATGGACGATTTTACAACTTACATCTGTCGAAAATGTGGTAAAGAAATCTTTTCTGTTATTAAATATGGTGCTGCCATCTATTAGACGAAGAGAATAAGAATACATATTTTCATCAACTGCTTTATGATGTCTGATAACGAGAAATACAATAATTCATGTATATTTTTAATAAATAAATCAGTACATATTATACACAAATAAACTGACAAACAGACCCAAAAACCAATGCGACAAAATGACGCAAATTTTGCAAAAGTGTCACCTCGCGGTTGGTGTCCGAACAAAATCCATTTTGATCACCTGGTTGCCTAAAAACGTATTTACATGGACCAGCATCTTGCTTGGTATGTTGTCACAAGGCATTAAATGAGATGGCAAATCAAAATAAAGTAACGCTGTCGTGGATACTAGGACACCAAGAAAGTACTGACCAAGGTTTGTGACTGAACAAGAACCCTGTTGTTGACTGGCAAAAACCATTGCAAAGTCGGTCACCAAAGAATAGAAAAAAAAAGAATTCCTGCAATGGTGGAGCGAGACGTCAGGGTAAGGAATTTATCATCCATCCGCCAAATTTACAGAAGACCTGCTAACCTAAAAAAGAAGGTTCGTAAGCATAATGTTAGGGCTCCTTACTGGCCACTGCTGGCTTAAGGGGCCTCATGGGAGTGGCAAAGAAGTGGAATGCAGATTCTGCCAATGCCCCATGTGGATGCTGTGGAGTCTAATCAAGGATAAAGCTTTATAACTATGGATGAGATTACAATTATTTAGTAGCAACGGGCAGGTTATTTGCTACCTTTTACAATCTGAATCTAAATCATATTACGGGGTGTTTAAGGTTTTCCGTTTGAAATTTACTTCCAAACGAACCCGTAGTAAGCGCCTGTCGTCATCAGGCGTCCGCAATTCACGCTCACGACTTCTATCTGACATTAAAGGATAACATTTTAATAACGGATACCCCGTTTCCTAGAGTTATTCCGATTCAGTTGACAACCTTGAAGATTATCCGTATTCGCGCGCCTATATTTCTATTGTTTAAAAACGATATGAGAATTGCTCGTTTTCGCACGAACAAAATTTTTTATCATTAAATTGTTGCATTTCAAAACTAAAAGACTTAAATCCCCATAACGGTTTGATAGTTAATTAGGTTTTAATTTTGACAAGTTAATGCAGCCGTAATGTCCTTATGTTAAGGTACTAATATCATGTTTTAAATTTAACACACTAAATAAGTTGAAGCATGATTCAATCGACATTCGACAGATAGCATCATCCTTCTTTATTTTCATTTCAGTCTATTAAAATTACGAAAACCATTTCGTCTTGGGTGATTGCGCAAAAGGAATCTTCACCGCCAGATAATGGCAATGTTCCCACATCCACAGACCTTCCACCGCAAGGTTTATTTTCCAAACTTCTTGTTCGTTTTTGATAACGACATTTTCCAGTCTACATATTATTTAGATACGACTCTACAAACAAAATGCATAGTACACGGTGAGTCAACAATAGAGCCAAGTTCATTGTCTCATTTCTTTCAAAACTTATGAGAAAATGGTTAACACAATTATTTTAAAATATGCAGGGTGGCGCAGAAAATATTATTTTTAAAAATGGAACATCCTATTTTTAAACTTTGTTTTGAATTCCTTTAAAAATTATCTTTTTTCGTAATAACGATACACACCTAAACCTGATAGTTTTTACGATATTTAAATTTTCCTAAAAAATATTAGTTTTCACGCTTACAAAAAAGTTACTATAGCGCCACTATTTTGGTAAGTATAACACTGATATTTGGCACTAGCGTTCTTCGAAGATGACATAAAAGACGGACTCTGAGTTAGATGCTACAGGGTGTTCAAAATTAACGAATAGAGGAAGGATAAATATTGTAAAAGTTAAAATAAATGGCAAAGTATTACAAGTAGGTATATGACATACTTAACAATAGACATCCAAAACGTAATTCACAAATAGTGCATTTAGAAAAATGTATTTGTTATTGATCACGCTTTTTCAGCCACCCTGTCTACTTTAAAATAACTTTAAATCGCGTATCCCAACAATGTTTACAATTTTTGTATTTACCATTTTCTCATAACGTTTGAAACCAATAAGATAATGAGCTTTACTCTATGGTTGGCTCACCCTATATAAAAAGAGCTTTTTTATCATCTTTGTCAAAGATGATTTTCTTCTTGGCAGAAAACGTCGTTGTTACATGTAAGCCATAGCCATTTTTTGTTTATATATTCGATTGTTGATTAATTATACAATTACACTATACTATACAGTAATACACATCCTCAACTTAGATGCACGTTCCTCAGTTTGAAATAAGGAAAAAAGTTTCGCGTCCGTGTCGAAGTTTTTTTTTCATTTACCTCCCACAACCTTTAAAATAATTAATTTAACCACTCCGACATTGTAAAATACTCTCCGGAAATCGAAAAGTTTAAGGACATATCCAAACTTACCTTCAGAAATGTAACATCAACGAGATGTTTAAAAGTGTTGTACTATTCCAGATATTGTATTTTTGATCTGTAACAATTATATTAAATTTCATGTAATTATTTTAAAAATGGTGGGAAATAAA